TACACGTAACTCGGGCAGAGTGAGGACTTACGGCAAGCTGTCGTCGCCCAGCGGTGGGAGGCAAAGATGCCTGCTGTCACCTTTCTTCTAACTTTGCTATTTATGAAGTCATTGAAATCACGTTTACAGGATACGACTTAGAAGGGGTGGCTTTGCTCCCAGGAGAACGACTTCTTGACTTAGAGTATGCTGATGATATTGCCCTAATCTGTGACAGCTCACAAACGTATCAAGCGGCACTGGACAGATTAGCACTGTCTGTCCGTCACTTCGGGCTTTGCTTCGCACCATCGAAGTGCAAAGCGTTCCTCCAAGATTGGTCTGGACCGCCTACGCTGACCGTTGGTGGAGATCAGCTAGAAGTCGTTCAAAAATTCAACTACCTGGGAACTTGTATCATCGCCCGTGGGATCGAAGATGAGGTCACGAACCGTATAGCAAAAGCTCGGGGCGCTTTTGCTAATCTTCGCCACTTATGACGCCGGTGCGACATCACTCTTGCCTTGAAGGGCTGAGTGTACAATGCAGCGGTGCGTTCGACCCTACTGTACGGTTGTGAAATCTGACCCCTTAAAGCAGCGGACCTGAAGAGGCTAGTTACGTTCGACCATCGGTGGTTTTGCAATTTAGCTCACAAATGGTGGGAACACCGCGTGAGCAACGAGCGTGTTCGACGCCTTGTTTACGGCACAGAAAAAGGAAATGAACCGCTCAGCACAGTTATTTCACGCACTAGGCTCCAATGGCTCGGCCACGTGTTACGCATGCCAGCCCGCGGACTCCCGCGATGTGCGTTGTTTGCGCGTCGGGGGTGTGGATGGAAGAAGAGGAGGGGTGGTCAAGCGATGACTTGGTCGAGATAAATGAAGGCGCCCACTTCTGAGCTGGCCTTGCTTGGAGCGTCTCGGCTCCCTGGTTGGGGTCCGAAAGACGATGAACACGTTTGGCTGGATATAATTGCTGATATGGCTAGGAGCCGACCTCAGTGGCGTTCGTGCTATTTTTTTACCCCGTCCCATCCCTCTTAGCCTCCCCCTCCAACCACGATCTCATTATTTAGCCTTATGTAATTTTGCATAGTAATTTTTTTGATGCACAATAGCCGGCTGGTAGCCTACCGGAACGATGTCCATCTGTTACCGGTAACTCAGCCGGCTTGCACCAGTTGCTTTTTTTCTCCTTTTTTCTATGTAATGCGGCACAGTAGCTGAGGTGTTTCCCACCTCAAGCTAACATGTATGATGATGATGACCTCCCAGAACCTCAGTGTGGCATTCGCCAACCTGTGCAGCCTAATGAACTAAGTTGACGAATTGTGCCACTTCGATGTCCCACAGCGACCGGACGTTTTAGGACTTACAGAAACTTGGCTGAACTTCGACGTCATACCCCAAGAAGTCACGTTGTCAGGATACTCTTTTCCGGTGCGAGCGGAAATCGAAGGCTCACCGTGGTGCTCTGTTGTATTAAAATCGTCACTATCTGGCAAACTTACCAGCACCCATCTGAGCGAGGATGACAATTGTGGTGCACAGTCCGCATAAGACACGCAGATCTAATAGTCGTTGTTATCTACCGTAACCCATTAGAGCGTTGTTACGATTGGCTACCACATATGCAGAAGCACGTGAGCCACTCTCCGTCCTTCTTGAGGGGGATCTAAATTTACCTGAGATATTCTGGCCGGACGTTCGGCTTGTTCCCGGTCATGGCGACGTTGAGGCTCGATTCGCTAAAATGACTATTGAAATCGGGGCAACGCAACGTCATCTAACCGACGCGCGTAACTCCGGACTCGGCATCTTGTCTGGACCTAATGTTTGCGAGCAGAAAATGAAAGAGATCAGAGTCCCCAAACCTCTGCGAACAGTGCCCACTGCTCCATTTTGGCAAGCATAGAACTACCGGTACCCTATTAGAACCAACGGAAGCCGATACTCAACTATTGGGAGACGGACTCGTCCAAGCCGCAAGTCAAACTGATTGGACACTACCGGAGGATGCGTTGCTTGGTCATTAATGATGAGGAAGTTTATCTAGCTGTGTACTCGGTTCGTTCCCTTGAAGTATTCAAAAGTCGGACCTATCAAAGCGCATTGGTTTGATACGGAGTATGGACAGTTAACGCCACGGCGTCACAAACTTTGGAATAGGTACATCAGCTCGGGTTGTGATGAAGATCACACGGTGTACAAAAAACTGTAAATTATGTAACGCCGCAAGGACCACGAAACGCTGGCAGTTCAAAGAGGAGCTTGCATCCTCGGCCACAACTGCACCCAAAAGCATGTTTGCCTACTTGGAACGTCAAATGAAACGTGGGGGCGACCTACCGGTCTTAGAGAGCTTGGACGAACAGACGCTCGTTTCAAGCGCGCGGTCGTCTTGGCTACGCACTTCCTCACCGTATTTTTCAGTAAACCGGCGGCTGTTCCAATACCGGCACAGGTTGCGCCAGTCTTGCTCGGCAGCCTACAATGTGATGCAATCACAATGTATCAGCTACTCGTCAACCTCGATGCTGCAAAACCTCCGAATCAGACATACTTCTCCCACTAATACTCAAGTCCCTATCGAATGTCATCTCACCAGCCGTGACAAATCTATAAAATACATCACTCTGAAGGATCTGCCCCCAGCGACTGGAAATGCTCGATAGTGAGGCCGCTACCTAAGGGTAGGGATCCGAGTAAAGTAGAGAACTATAGACCGATCTATTTTACTTCAATGTTATCCAAAGTTTTCGAGAGGGTTGTGGAAAGGTGTCTGTTGTCGTTCTTCGTATCGATGGATGTACTGACACCAGCGCAACACGGCTTTACCAAAGGGCGATCCAGCATCACGAACTTGATGTATACAAGCCACCAGTGGGTACGGCTCTCAGGGAACATAAAGATGTTGACGTGGTCTACATGGACTTTAGTAAGACGTTTGACAGTGTGAACCACGAGGTACTTCTTCATAAACTGGACCTACGGAATTGGGGGCACGTTACCTTAGTGGTTACACGAGTTTATTGTGGGACGATAGTTTAGACTGACTACCTGACAGACTGCTTCCCATCGACCAAAGTCGTGCCTCTGGGAACTATACTTGGGCCAGTATTATTTCTTATTCATTTTAACGATCTCCCGCAGCAGCTTTATTTACTATGTGTCCAGTTTGCAGATGATTTGGAAATCTGGAGGATCATTGAGAACCAGGACGACAGTGCTTGCCTCCAGCATGACTTAGATCGACTGTCAACGTGGTCTACTGAAATGCAACTTTGTCTTTACTCAAGCAACTTGGAGTTAGTCAGTATCACCAGACGTCCAGCCACTCGATCGCACACATTAGACGACCAGTTGCTCTACTCTAACACATCTGTCAAGTAATTAGAAGTGCTCTCGCGACGTGATATGAAATCACTAGAAAATACAAAGAAACTGTACCTTGAAGGATTTGGGATACTCTAGGCATTACGACGCATTTTCTCCACACGGTCTTAAGAAACCGTCCTTCGCCTATGTACCTCGCTCATTACACCAATCCTTGAATACGGCGCCCCAGCTTACCATCCAGTGGGGAACTGAAAAGCTTGAGAGAATACAGCATATCGCATCCGGCATGATACCCAGTCTACAAATGCTTCTGTATGAAATACCTTGTTAAACGCTCGGACTCTACACACTATCCTGCAACCGAATAAGCATTGACCTTATTGTGGCCCATCGAGTACTACACATGAATTACTTCCCCATACTGCGGCCAATATTTCATCTGCGGGAACCCTGTAACACCCGAGGACACCGTTCCAATATCAGGGTCTCCTACATGAACAAGGTATCACATCAGCTTCGTGTAGAACAAAGAATCGTAAACTTTTGGCATACTCTACCAGAAGGACTGATAGAGGCCGATTCTACGAAGTGTTTTTAAACACGCATCAACAATTATTTCGGAAACCTGTGCTTTTATGAAACGGTGCACATACAATACCAAAAGAAGACCTCGTATACCAGGAAATAATGACACCAATACGAATTCCTAACGTAACAAGGATAAATGATTAACTGGCAAAGTACTACCGCTGATGATTCGCAATTAAATGTTTTTTTCGTTTTTGAATATTCGTTAGAGTTCTACAGAAACCTTTCTACTTTCACCTAAATACAGTCTCAGGCCATGGTGGGGATCCCTTAAACAGCAGCAGTCCGATGGTATTTTTCACTGACTACCCTACGATCACAACTGCTTGCATCGCAGCTGGTGTTCTGTTAATACACGCAAGCCTAGGTATGAACGAGGACTCGAACTCGGAACCCAAAAGTTGGAAGCCTGCACCTCAGACAAACAAAGCTGGCTCTCTTTTATTACCCGCATTTGCTACCTCATTCATTGCGTAGTTGGTATTATCACGTAACACCTTTAGACTTCTCTAAAACGAACTCAGGCGTGGTATTTTGCGACCGTTTAACCAACTCCTTTTACAAGCACTGTTCACGTGTCGCATCTTTCCTCTGCTGTGCATTTCTCCTTTTTGCCGCCACTGGCTGCCATCCATACCACCTATACAATACTCTATACTAACCATTTCTCGTCAGCTGATCCCTTGTCTTCTCGATTACATTCACCCAACGCTGTCCGCTTCACTTGTCTGTTTTTCTGGGCTTAATTTAATTTAATTCTCCCTATCACTTTCTTGTATCCAATCGCGTGCTCCTCATCTTAGATCATTTACCTATTGCCAGATGGTGACATTCATTTGACAAACTCTCTACACACTTTGTTCATCCGCTACCGGACACACCCGATTTTTAATATTCCTGCGCTCCCCGTTGTTGCAGTAGAAGTCAAATGGCCCCTAATCCTTAAAGGACGCTCTCGCATTTAATGCAGTTTTATTAGTGTTTTACACTCAATGTCCAACTCATTCACCAGTGGTCTCCGTACTTTGCGATTTTTTCGAGATCTTTTCCATCACTGGTCGCCTCTGCATTTGTCATGTCTTCCATTAGGCGATGATGCAAATACAACAAGGTTTATCAATCCTACAACAAGAGGCCCCTGGTGTACTGACTGGTTTGGGTATGCAGTCATCTCCAACGGATCCGGTGTCTACAGCGGGGCCTGTTGATCCGAGCACAACTGATTCTCCATCGGCTGCGTCAGGAACAACCACGGATTCTGAAACCACTGCCGGTCCAAATGCTGCTCCGCCTCCTGTGAATCAGACGGAACTCGCCACCTTACTTGCCAGCATGCTCAACGTAATGTCTAGCACCAACTCTGGCGCTGGGGGCATGCCCAACTTCGGAGACGTTCTCCGTTCCTCTCAGACAAACCCAGTAAATGTGGTGAGTTATCCGTTCTTGCTTATCACCCTTGTTCACATTTCTTGATGACTGTGGTCTTCGTAATGTGAACCTGATGAATATGCATCTATCTATTGCTCTCATAGGCGCAGAAAATAATCGCTTTGACTTTCACAATTACGGTTATTAGGAAACTGATTTGTTACAAGGCATCTGTGCATGCAAATTAATCACCACATCTACCTCTGATGGCGGTGCATATTTATCAGTCTCTTACTCAACTATGTCTCAGCTGTTTTACTTCATAAACTTCAGGCATCTACTTAGTGCGCATTCTGTGACCATTTTATGTGTTCCTTTTTTTTACTTTTCAGGACCCTCCTGAAAGGCGCTACGCCACGCAATTAGAGACGCTCGCCAGCATGGGATTCAGCAACCGCGATGACAATTTGCAAGGTACTCTTTTCTTATCACAAATGGTCAGACCTTCTATATACTCGGTTCATATCGAGCAATATCTTCATTTCAATCCACGTTTTTCCTGTAATCTCTCCACACACCCATTTCCATACTTGAGTTATCAATGCAGCGCTTCTCACGAATTGGATGAAACGTAGCTAATAATTTGTCGTGACTTCGGAAGAGCAAGACGTATGACCTCTGGTTTCGCCTCATTTACCGATGGTCACTTGTCGATCCCCCGCAGGTTATTCCATCCTATCAACAAGTATTTTCGCGATCTTGTGTTAACTCCGACACGTCTTATACTAACCTGAAAATCGCTTATATGTAACAGCCATAAATAAATAAATTGTATATTTCTCGATGATGTGAAAAGCTAATCCATAGGAGGAACAGATCAAAATTGTTACCTCCTTTTCATGCTAAAGCATTAATCATTTTTCGAAGATAATTATGAGCACACATCTCAAATTTAGATAACATGATGATCAAAATCGTTCTGTTGTTTTCTCTATCTGTCATTAAACCAGAGTTCTTCACATTCACATGAAAAATGCTCGTTCCAAAAATTGACTGAACTGTGGTTCAAAAATCTATATGTATGTGTTCGTAATTTAGTCATGCACCATTGATACCGTTCTCGGAAGCTTTATCCAGTGATTTTGATGTTTCGAACATATTAATCGCGTTTCGGACGGTTAGCTGCCTACTAATCGGAAGCTTAAAATCACGCCATGTAAGCATATTCTGATAACTTGAAAATTTGTTCCAAATATTTGAGCATTGGGCTGGGGAAAAAACTTTCTCTGATCCTCGTAGTAGCTTTTGGGATCATGACCTTTATTTCTTTGTTGCGGATTGGGTCTCTGCTGTTTAAAGATATATGAACGCAGTCATCGGAACTGTGAATTTGATGATTTATGATTTTGTAAAGCAAACATAGGTTCAGCTTCATTATCCTAAGCCAGGCTAGGTCAGATCCAAGTTCATTACAACCTCTGTGTGTCATCTTTGAGAAATAGCCACATAGATTTTTCGTGGAACATTATTGCGCTTTTTCAAGTGCATATTGATCAAATTTTCGCAGATTAGACTGAACCATTGAGTAGTATTCCATACGTGACAATGCAATGTTTTGTAAAACCAGATACGACATTCCGTGGGTAAAGACAAATGATGGCCAATGTATCCCACGGTCTTCATAGCCTTCGAAACTTGAAGACACATTGTTCAGAAAAGTTAAAGTTGACATGTCAATACCCTCTCCATTCCTTGCAGAAATTTATGTTTACCGATTGGTTCCGGAGCAGTACTCGGCCGTTCTAGGGGAGTGATGCGTATCGCTTTCTCTGACTACTGTTGCTGTCTCTAGAGCAGCAGCAGTGTCTTCATACAGGTGTCCGCATCGCGTCGGTTGACACCCACTAAACCGAACGATGTCCTAAACTCCAATCGATCGCTTCATCATCAGTCAATTTCGAGATTCGAAATAACACGAAACCATATGTGAACAATTGTTTACGATGTTTCTGTTCAGACTATTACAATCACATTTAATGAACTGAAATCGACTCATTGGCTCAAATTACATAGTTACTTAACCGTTCAGTGAGGGAGGCTAAAAGTTGACCTTTGACCTGACAGATCGATTGCTTGGTACCGATCTTAATCTGTGGCACTGGACCTCAGCATCTTTCGTTCTATCTGGCCAGGGAAGCTGTAAGGAATAGAGCAACTTCTTTTGCGAGCATAATGAAGGTTGAAACAACCGAATGCAAATCGATTTAACTGTCGCGAGCGCACGGAGGCACAAACCTCTTGCTTGATGCTGGGGGACCCTGTAAATTCTTCTGAAGGCATGCTTTAGATCGACTTGGTGCCCCGTGTCGACAATATGGGCCAAAACGGCGCTGCTAATTACCCCAGTTCCTCCTTGACGCAACCAGCGCGGGCAGTGCACCTTCACGCGTTTGGACAAGTGCCGTGCCGTTCGATTAATATAAGTAGTGTCACAAGCACATTTGAACTAATGAATAACGATACATGAGGTCAGCAATGGAAGCTTATCCTTATTGCGTGAACAGAGGTGGTTCGGTAGAAAACGTACACTTTAACCTGGCTGCTGGAAATGTCGACTTGACTGCCGCTGCAAGACTTTTGGTTAGGCACTCGGCAGCGGCATCCCCCTTAAAAAGTAATCTTAAAAATAACTCCTTCGCCGCGATTAAAAGTGGTACCGGCTTGGGCTATTCTTCAAAATTCTTTGCAACAAATTTATCAGGGGAGCCATTTTCGCGCAGCTTATTTTTTTTTATAAAGGCTAGTGCCTCATCCATAGTGTCCTGTGAGCAAATTCACGTGTTCTTGTGGTAAGGCAGTGGATTGAGTGTCACTTATATCTCATAGACCATATATTCACTTTACGGCAGGTGCTAGAGCAGCGCCACGCATACCACAGACTAATAGCTGTGTTCCTCGCTTTCAAGAGCGCCTTCTATTCAGTCGATCGATCGATTCTGTTCGAAAGACTTGCGCGGAAGGGTGTTCCCACGAAATATGTGAACATCCTTCATGCTCTATACTCGAACACTACTGGCTGCGTCAGGGTCTACGGTGTCCTATCGGATATCTTTCCGACCACAAGGGGCGTTCGTCAAGGTTATCCGATTTCCCGATTTTTGTCCAATTTCGTCGTGGATTCTATCATAGAGTGTTCCTTTGTGGAATCTCACGATGTACGCGTTGAAGTGCTGCCTGGTGAAAGGTTAGTTGACCTAGATTATGCGGACGATATCGTCTTGCTTTTCGACGATTTTGCGGCGGCAAAATCAACCCTGAATCGTCTGTCCAGAGCGGTCCCGTTATTTGATATGCACTTCGCACCTTCAAAGTGCAAAGTGTTGTTGCAGGACCACCAGCCACTTGATGACCCCATGACCCTTGTTAACGAGGAGCTCGAGCTGGTTGATCATTTCACTTATCTTGGCAGCTGCATCAGCAATGATGAGCGCATGAAAGCTGACGTCAGCTCACGCATTGCAAAAGCCAGAGCTACCTTCTTGAACCTGCGGCATCTTTGGCGACAGAATTGAGTGGCCCTCCCTCTGAAAGGCCGTGTATACAAGACCACAGTGAGGGCCGTTCTGCTCTATGGTAGCGAGACTTGGCCCCTTCGGTCTGAAGACCTGAGGCGCCTTCAAGTCTATAATGGTCGTTGTCTGCGAAGCATTGCTAGTGTCGGATAGCTTCAGCGTGTCCGCAACGATGATGTGCGTAGGCGAGTACTAAGTAGTGATAATCATGCTAGCTTCCTAGAACAACACAGCACTGAATAAGTTGCGCTGGCTCAAGCACGTGCTACGTATGCCTGGTCACCGCTTACCTAAGTGGGTTTTGTTTAGTTTGCCAGGTGTATGGTGGCGCATGGCTCGCGGTGGACAGAAGTTGACTTGGCAGCGGGAAATGAAGTCACTGACTACCAAACTGGGTGCCGTTGGTCCGTCTCGCCTTCCGGGCTGGAGTCCACGTGACTCGCCTTGTGCTTGGCTCAAGACTTTACAGGACATGGCTCGCAGTAGACACCAGTGGCGCGTCTGTTGCCGTCTCCTAATCGGATTGTCTGTTTAAAGTGTGTTTGGTGCTGAGTTATCTTCAGGGTAATGACTGATTATAACTCGGTGCAGTGAAAGCCGCAAGGAAGCTGTCTCGCTGATGCCGCCTTATCTTTGCACGATAGCCAGCTGTTTGTCACGGTATGTTGTCTACACAAGGTGTAGGCGCCTTTACCCTAAATGTTTGCTTGGAGCACTGAGGTTTTCAGGTAAGTCCCCCTCTTATTCTTTATTTCATAGGTCCTCATGGTTGTGTGGCAGCAAAGCATCAGTTCAAATGGCTGATGTGCTGCTGCTGCTGATGATGATCTCAGCGGGACGAAACTGTGAAAATCCGTGTACCGACCAATACATATATTTTTCTGTAGACTTTCCGCTGAATGGAACCGTCTGGCCTCCAAATTGTCGGTCGATCCAGAGCACCGCTTTAGCGCGTGTCCGCAGAGCACTCTTCTGTCCCTATCATCTTTACCTAAAGATTTTTAATTCATCACTTGTGTGTTGGTGATTACATCTCCTTGATGGTTCACGAGACAGTCGGAGTTTGACATCCACATGCACCCAATCTGCTTGTGGCTCAGTAGCGGACACTTGCTGAGCTCCACAAGCAGTATCTATGTTTCTTAGGATACTTGTAATCTTTTTGCAAGCTTTGAATTCCTGGAGCTGTTCGCAATCACAATGACTGCGAATCCGAAACAATCACCAACTATTGCCGCTGACCACTTCCTGCCTTATCCATAACATTCTCACTTGTCTATGCAATAAGTGACGGACGTGCACTGAATACGCACACTTGCTCGCCGTCTATTGGATGCTTGGTGTTCGATCCAAGTTGTATCCTGGCACCGTTGACTCGCCGTAAACCACTTATATTGGCTGCACTACTCGCTTAGGTTCACGCTTATCCCTCCTCAGGCTACCACACTATTAGTTATGGCCTCCTGGATTTGAGCTCACAAATATTTGATCTATTATCCCAGCACCTCTGCACACGAAATTTTCAGTTATTTCGTCATTTCTTATGTATCCGATTACATAACTAGAATGTGTCATCATCTTGCTGTTGTTTTCGACCTTGGCATGTATGAAAAGGCAAGGCCGTTTTCCATTGGCCTTTCTAACCGGCATTGTTTCCGCATACAGTACCCTAAGTACATTTCGTGGTACAACTTCAACATTCACTTGATTTCTCGTACTTTCTCTTATGAACTCATCGCTTGTTTGTCCTAGCTCTCATTGCTACCTTCGGAGACGTGAATGCTGCTTTGGATCGGCTTCTTAGATCAAATCAATCAAGTTAACTGGCTCGCTATTTTTGGTTCTACCAGTCTCGTTGATCCCACTCCATCGGATGTTGCGTTTACACAGTTGGCTCCAATTCCACCTGCCTCGCCATTCATATCCGCGTATATTGGGAGATGCTAGTTGTAACGCGCGCGCGTCCGCATTCCTCTTCGTTGCTCTGCTCATGTTTTTGTCACTGACCTTTCTTCCCACTTCCATGGCACACTGTCTATGTTCAATTCCTATCGCCGCTCATTTTGTTGCCCTGTTTGCAAGCAATCTCACTACATGCTCCCCCTACTCTTGTCACATTGCTTTTTACTCTATGATGAGTGTAGACTGCATGTCAACGCTCGTTAGAATCGCAGATTGCTAATCTTCTTGCCTGCCTGTGAGAACCAAGCTTCGGATGTCGGTCTCTGGGTTTGCATCGTCAGTAAAGACTAACCTTAATTGAGCGTTCTTCTTGTCTGTCCTCCCCTACACCATCAGGATGATGGTAAATGCCAGCGTCAACCACCTGAGGCACTGACAGCATGTGTATCACGTGACTTCTCCTCGAAGCGTCACCTGGAAAGTTTGTGCACATCCCCAAACGGGAAACCGGTCGCATCTTCTGTGATTTGTTTGTCTTTCATGTTACCTCGAATCATACGTAAAACCGAGCTAGTGTTGTTCTGGACGATTGTATGAGACCTGTCTGGCGTTATTTCTGCTTTCATACAAATCGACTGCATATCTAGGAACTTGTGGATCAGATGTCTAAGTCACTCTGTCCCTTATCTCCTCCAGGCTTTAGCAAAGGCACACTATTCTTCGTTCTGGATAGCCATCATCAGTTGCGATTTATTTATCTTCCAGTTATTCACATCTGTGTGTCACAGAAATCCACCTTGTTTGTTTCTCATAGAGCTGGACTGCTCAGCAATAGTTCTCGGTCAGACATAGTCAATAAAGAGGCCAAACTCCCACTGTCCCTCAGGTGTTCATCTCCTACACGTTACTGTGACCGCATGTGTAAACATCCACTTGGTTAGGGACGATTCAGAAGTAATCAAGTGATATACTCAAAATCCTTCCTATCTCCAAAAGTTCATGGCTTACCAAAATACAAAACTTAACGTTCTCGTAGGGTCCATAGTCGATGGTAAAGCTTTGATAGCCCACGAACTCGCTAACATTTCGCGGTACTAATGCAACCACTGACAGAGCACGTTTGTGAAGAACTGTTTAATTCGCCTAAGAGATGCTGTGTCCAAAACTGTCGCTCGATTTGGAGCACGAGCGTGGACTCTGACCACGCACTTATCTGTGCCGACCTCCTGGTGCGTTTCGGTGGACGTCCGCAACCTCGATGTGAACGGATTGACACCAGCCAGCTGGCGAAGTCAGATGTTCTGAATGTGTACCAAAGTTCGCTGAGATCTGGCCTGAGTAAGCGCCCACTAAACACCGTTGATGATCACTGGTCGCATATTCGTCAAACATTACTGTTAGCAGGCATGTCTTCATGTGGCAAAGCAAATTGCCAAACCGGACATTGGGTCTCTACACAGGCTCTGGAATTTATGGATGCTCGCCGACTTATTCCGGCTGGAGGCGAATACAATGAGGCTCGCAAAAATCTCAGGGCAAAACTACGTGCTAGCCTTAGAAAGGACCGCGAAACCTGGTGGTTTCATCGTGCCTCTGAGATGGAAACAGACATTGTCGTCGGTAATCATCGTAAGTTATTCCGTCTGATACGGGAAACAGGCAGCAGGAGACCTGGTGTTAGCGAGACCATACGCGACGAGAGTGGGCAGCTGGTCCACAGCCTGTCAAAACGCTTGGAGCGTTGGGTTGAACACTTTGCCAGATAGTTTAACCAACCTGCGTTCTCGGTTTCTTTTTCGGGTATTGAGCGCTCTTCTCCTTGGGCCGTCTCCTTCGATCCGCCCTCACGCGCAGAAGTCGAACGTGAGATCAGGCTGTTGAAATTGCATAAGGCCCAGGGGCAGATAGAATTCCTCTGCCCTCTTCAAATTCGGGGGACCTGCTCTAATAGATGATCTACACGAGTTGCTAGTAAAACTTTGGGAGCAGGAGACTGTCCCGACAGACTGGAACCGCTCCGTCATTGTCCCAATTTTCAAGGGAGGCTCCCGTTTAGAATGTGGCAATCATAGAGGGATCAGTCTGATTTCGATTGTTTCTAACTTGCTTGCCTCTGTCATTCTCCACAGACTGACTGGCACTCGTGAAAGCCAGATTCGTGAAGAGCAAACCGGATTTGATCGAGGTCGGGGCTGCATCGACCACATCTTCACCTTGCGTCAACTGTTGGAGCACCGCCATGTTTATTGGCGACCCACCGTTGTCGTGTTTCTTGACATGAAAGGTGCCTTCGACTCAGTCATTCGACGTGCCCTTTGGGACTGTCTGCTGAGGAAAGGTGTGCCTGATAAATATGTAAACATTATCAAAGCGCTGTACGCGCATAGTTCGGGCAGCGTGAGAGTGTATTGCAAACTGTCGCCACCGTTCAGTATCACCAGCGGTGTGAGACAAGGATGCCCGCTGTCACCTTTCCTCTTTAACTTCGCTATTGATGAAGTCATGGCAACAGCGTTCGCTGGACACGACCTAGAAGGTGTGGAGCTACTTCCTGTGGAGGGACTTCTTGACTTGGAGTATGCGGACGATATTGCCCTAATCTGTGACAGCTCCCAAACATGCCAAAGAGCACTGGACCGATTAGCACTGGCTGTCAATCGTTTTGGGCTATGCTTTGCTCCATCGAAATGCAAAGTACTTCTCCAAGATTGGCAGGGACCCAACCCTGCGCTAACGCTTTGTGATGATCTGCTAGAAGTCGTTCAGGGACTCAAGTGTCTGGGCAGCTATATTAGCACCCGTGAGATTGAAGATAAGGTTACGAACCGTATAGCAAAAGCTCGATGTGCTTTTGCCAATCTCCGTCACCTGTGGCGCAGACGCGACATTACTCTCGCCCTGAAGGGCAGAGTTTACAACGCAGGCGTCCGTTCAGCTCTCCTATATGGTTGTGAAACCTGGCCCATCGGGTCGTCAGACATTAAGAGGCTCGTCATATTCGATCTTCGCTGCCTTCGCAGCTTAGCTCATATCTGGTGGGAACACCGCGTGAGCCATGAGCGTGTTCGACGTCGCGTATTTGGTGCAGGAAGAGCGGGTGAACCGCTAAGCACCATTATATCGCGCACCAGACTCCGATGGTTGGGCCACGTGTTGCGCATGCCAGCACACCGACTTCCGCGACGTGCATTGTTTGCGCGTTGTGGGTGCGGTTGGAAGAGGAGAGGAGGTCAAGTGATGACTTGGTCGAGAGAAATGAAAACTCTCACTTCGAAGTTGGCGTTGGTGTGTGCATCCCGACTGTCTCGCTGGGGTCCTAAGGACGGTGAACACCTTTGCTTGGACGTACTTGCTGAAATGGCTTGGAGCCGGCCCCAATGGCGTTTGTGTTGTGAGTTCCTTTGTCCATCCCCCTCCAATCACGATCTCAATTGTTAAGCATAATATGACTCTCTTTTTCGGCAGCCAGCTGTTAGCTCTCCGGAACGATGTCCATCCGTTATTGGGGACTCAGCGGGCATGCCACCGTTTGTTTTTCCTTTTCTTATCTTTTGTATTGCGGCACAATAGCTGAGGTGTTTTCCACCTCCAGCTAACGTGTAATGATGATGATGCCTAAGAGATAGCTGGGCTCACTGTCTAGCTGAAAGAATTGATGGTAAGTTCCGAGCAACCTCACTTGCTACCATTGTGTCTTAAGCAGAGGCGTTATGAAAAGCAGGACGTCTAAGTGAAGACAGCACTCTCTACGATAGAATCAAACTTGCGATTAACCAAATCGTCGATGGTATGACAATACGCCTTAAAAAGTATGTCCTTCTTCGTCTTCCAATCGAAACGTTGCACCCAGGAACGTAATCTAGCCCTGAAATCACCAGTATTCCCTTTGTTAGTAAATTTATTTATGTAAGATTCCGCGAACAAGGTGTTAACAAACACTGATAGCTCACCAGAAGTTGGGTGATGCTACGGGATAAGAAGAGTTGTTCTGGCACTTGAACTGCTGTGATGAGAGTCTTCATGTTATGGAGTTGGAGTCTTATGTTGGTATAATGCCATTTCTTGACTGCTTTGTTTACATAAATGGACATAATTTGAAAACAGCAATATGATGTAAGCTGTTTGATAATATTAAAGTGTTGTATTACACTTCAGGTCATTCAAAACACATTTACACTGGGATAACCTCGGTACTGTTGTTCCCGGCAGAGAACCCCATGTGCTTGACTGAGGAAGACAGAAGTTGAGTAGAGAGTGGATGAGTAACCTATTCTTGGTTACGGTGATTAGCCTCGTCAATTACAGTTTGGTTCCACGACGAAGTGGATAAGGATGGCAAGATTCCAGTACTAGGAAGGCAACTCGTAGGGTAATTGGCAAGAAGAATATGAGAATGATCTTCCAGATGCGCATTCGTGTTGATCACCACTAGGAGCATTACAACAGTTTTACGTCTAAGAACCTCCTTGTTAGCTGTGTCGTCCTTTTTATCAACTGTGTACTTCCGGACGGAGATTGTAAAGTAAATGTGGGCAGTTGTTCTCTCTTTGATTGGTAATCGAACAAGCCGTCTCCCAGTTAATTGCAATGTCATCCTATGAAAGGGGTCTTTCCCGAGTATTCTGACCTGATATGCCATCTATCAGACATTGAAGCAACATTGTTTCTTCGAATCTCGTCTGGTTAACTTTCTTGTATCTAAAATCAGGGATTGCTTTGTGTATGCAAACGACGAACTCATTTACGTTTTCTTCTGGGTTCCGACAGAGTTTGGAATAGTACTGTAACGTAGTAACGACGTCAAGAAAAGCACGCCCCCAGAAGCTAATCAGGCAGGACAAGACAAAATTCACGCACTTGAATCACCTGACACATTATTTAAAGCTAGACGCAATCCAATAAGAACGCGGTGCGGATGAGCTAAACTAACCAATGTTCTCGACAGACGTCACAAGTACCTGGTGGGAAATACCTTCTATCGAGCACCACAGAGACCGCTATATGTATCCAAGGCACTGGCTGAAGTGGTACAGAAGTCGTCAACCCGGATTGCGTCGAAGTATCATAGCCTTCGTCGCCCAGAAGCATGGTTCTCTACGGTGAACTCGATAACCCTGCACCATCAACTGCGAAAATATGAACGTAAGACGGGTCATTCGCCACATGAGTCTAAAAGAGGCGGTGATCGAACTGTAAATTAACAATGGTCACTGGACGTGAATCGGTGGCCAACTTCGAATATCACTCTCATCGATCAATTTTTGCTTAGTACGCACTGACGAAGTCACCTCGATTTGTGATGAAACGTCTGCAACAAAGTAGTTCAGCTCGGAGAACAAACCTAAACCTGAATAGATAACCCGAGCTACTGGTATTCCGCTTTATTACTACCATAGCAGTAGTTTGATCTTGTGTTGCCCTGTAAGATGCTGCGGATTCAAGATTGGAAACAATTCCAGCCAAAGTGGATTTTTCACCATCTATTCCAAATAACCATAGATAGTCATTCTGTAGAACATGACCATAACTGCATTAATGCATTCACAATGGACGTGGTAATCTCCGTCAAATAATACGTATTAGTCATGACAATTAAACCTTTGAGAGCGTGTGCTCTATATGGCCTAGAACATTACGTTGTTGGGTGGCGCCTGGGATACTACTCGGTAACATACATAAGAGACGTCAAGTACGAGACAAAGAAAATTTGGAGGCAACTGAAACCAAGGTGTATTGAGCAGGCCATAAATGTAGGAAGTGAATCAACAAGGATGAGGAATGGTATA